AACTGCAAGGATCCACCCCTAAACCCCACACCCCAAACCCTAAACCCTAAACCCCAAACCCCAAACCCCAAACCCCAAACCCCAAGCCCTACCTCCCCTTAGCCACCGGGCCTGATCTCGGTGGGTCAGGCGGCTGCGCATCGAGGATCGAGGTCCTCCGGTTCTGCAACCCTCAAACCCCAAAAGGGTTTAGGGTTTAGGGTTTGGGGCTTTGCTGTACCTTATTGGGGTCCTTACCCCACATAAGGCCCTTGATACTGAATCAAAATACTCCCCCCCCTTATCCTACAGAACATTAAAGGCCGAGGTTAAAACAAACATAAACCCTAAACCTCTAAAAAACTTCTGTAGGGATTATGTCTGAAGTTTAGGTTGTATCACGGCCGCTCAAGCCAAAAGACCTCCCCTTAAGAAGACAAGCCCCAAGCCCCAAATGCTCCGAGCAGACGCATCCTCTGAACATCAAGGGTGAAGTAGGTTCGCTCAGCCAGGGGGCTTCACACGGCCTGGAGGCGCGGGAGAACTTGCGAGCAGAACCAGGTGCCTCTTGGGACGCCGAACGTGGCGCGGAAGTGCAGGCGGAGGTCACCCCAGGTTCAACTCGGGGCTCTTGAGTGCTCATGCAGTAGTCCGCCTTGCTCATGCCACCAAGGGGCTTCCATGCTGCCTCACTCAGCTTAGGGCATAGGGGCTTAGTTCGGACTTCGGGCTTAGGGTTTAGGGCTTAGGGTTTACGGCTTCGGGTTTAGGGCTTAGGGCTTAGGGTTTAGGGCTTCGGGTTTTGGGTTCAGGGTTTAGGGCTTAGGGCTTCGGGTTTAGGGCTTAGGGTTTAGGGCTCACTCCCTAGACCCGGAGCCCTGGATGAATGGCACCTCCGGGTGCACCTAGCCGCAGCAGCCAGTTCCTCGGTAGCCAAGTAACCATCTCATAATAAGGGCACCTCTTTTTTTGGGGTTGGCTTTTTTTACAAGGGAAGCCAGAACCCACCCCCACCCCCCCACCCCCCCCCCCCCCCCCCCCCCCCAAAAAAAAAAAAAAAGTAAAAACAAAAAGTAAAGGGTACCACGGGGCTACCAAGGTTCCTGACAACACCGGAGGGTTGGCAAAAAAAAGGCCGACAACGCTTCGGCTTTGCAGGGTGTAGGGTTCGGAGTTTTAGGGCGTAGGGTTTAGGGTTTAGGGTTTAGGGTTTAGGGTCTCCATCCCTTGCAGTGGAAGTTCGTGAGATCCGCTGTTGTCAATTCCACTGCGTGTGGCTGGCACTTACCTTGTGGGCATGGGCCTTCCGGCTCATTGCCGTCCAGGGTTTAGGGTTTGCTCATATGGGTGGTTGTCAAAATTATGATCCCTTTTGGGGTACCCTAAATATTAGGTGCCGTATTATAATAGGGACCCAAAAAGGGACCATAATTTTGACAACCACGCATATACTAGACCCAGGAGTAGCCTAGGAATAAAAGGGAACCTTTGTAAATTCTGGCTTTAAGGGGGTGATAAGCGCACCCCAACACTAGAAAGGAAATGAGGGCCTACTTCGGGTCCTAGTCACATTGCTGTTCAGGGTTTAGGGCTTGCTCACGGCAACCGCCATATAGGGTTCAGGTTTAAGCATTCTTGGGATTTACTGTATGAGGTTTGGGTTTAGGGTAGTGGCATTGAATTGCCACACAAGACCTCCGCAAAGCAGATCTTGTTCGGGATTCTAAGCTTCAGCATAGCGGGTTCTTGTGTGCAACAATTGACAAGTAGACTCCCTGCACCGCTGGTGATTTTAAACAACCCCCTCTGCCCTGGTGCAGGCAAGCCGCGAATATTCCGAAGGCTGCTGGGGCACGTGCACCAGTTCCTTGCGAGAGGCAAGCGAGTGAACTTGAGCCTGCCCAGACTCGAAGAAACGATCCCAAAGGGAGGGTCCCCCAAAAAAAGGAATCCCCCAGATTGCAAAAGGCAATACAGAAGCAGCCCTAGCTCCCCAAGTACCCCCAAAAACACTCTACAACATACCCTAAATCCAAAATATGCCCCCGAAACATGACTAAAGAGACCACAGAAGGCGTCCTCTTCTGTGGCATTCGGACGGGAGATCTCCATGAATTGGCAGGAAGCCTCCGTTGGTTAGGGTTTCGAATTTAGGGTATTTAGGGTTTGGGGCCAGTTTAGGGTTTAGGGTGCGGTGAAGGTTCAGGGTTGAGGGTGAGTGGGTCGACTCCTCAAGTGCCCCATGCTTACTTAGAGGGTGGGTGAGGGGGGGGAAGTGTAGCATGTACGGCCGGTCGAGGGCGGCTGGTTTACGGATTGGGAAAGCGCGGTCGCAGTCTGTACTTCCTTCCATTGGATAAACAGGTTGGGGACATCCCCTTATCGACCCTAGGCTGGCACCCGAGGGCGTTTGGGATGTCAGCCTGTAGCCAGCAACTGCTCAATGCACTGAAACTAGACCCGGGAGTAACCTAGGAATAAAAAGGGTACCCTTTGTGGTTTTAAGGGGATTATAAGGGAACCCTAATCTTAAAAAAGGAAAAAAGGGCCTAAGGTTACCTACTCTACTACTAAGTAAATGGGACCTTGCAGGGGCAGCTTCAGCCCAAATACGTACGCGCGACCTTCAGCTCAGCCAAGCTCCCTAGAATGGGCCCTAACACCTAGCCCCTAAACCCTCTACACCCTGGATCTAAACCGCAATAAACCAAGTAAGCCCAATACAAGAAGAAGCCCAATAAATGCAAGAAGCCTTAGAAGAAAGAAACAAATTCAACTAAACCCTAATTAAACCCCTTACAGCCGAGATATTATACCCAACAAGCCCAATGAGACCTACGAAACTCCAGTAGACCCTAAACCCCAAACCTAAATCCTAAACCCTAAACAAAAGGCCTGCTGACACGCCCCCGCCTCGACCACAGTGCCTCCACCCGTGCCGTGCGCGTCACGCAGGAGGCACGTGCTCATCCCGAATGAAGCTTCCCAGGGCTTCTAGGGTTCAGGGCTTGGGGATTCTAGGGTTGAGGGAATCAGGGGTTCAGGGTTTGTAGGGTGTTTGGGTGGTTCAGGTTCAGGGTTTGGAGCGATTTAGGGCTTTTTTGAATTTGCTGTTTCTCTTTTTTTCAGGTTTTGGGAAGCTCCCTTCCTAGAAACCCCAAACCCGAAACCTTGCGTGGGCTGGTCTGGATGTTGGGAGCTCTCTTGCCATGGCGATGTTTGGTAGAGGGACTTTGGGTAAAGTAATGTAGGGGCCTGAATGATTAGAGTGGGTTTTTGGGGATTATCGTAGTATAGTTATAAATGGACTATGAGGGAATGCTATTAGTAGTTTTTTCGGACCCCTATATTATGGGCTTGTGGTTTGGGGTGTTAAGGCTTTCTCGATTGTTTCGAGCAGTCGCCGGCCGCAGAGCAGCAAGCCCAGAAGGTTACCCTAAACCCCTAACTAACCCTCAACCCTCAACCCTCAACCCTCCACCCTCAACCCTAAACCCTACACCCTAAACAAACCCTAAACCCGGCGAGGCAACCCTCAGGGAAGTTGACGACATCAAGCTTTGGTGGGCTGTAGGGCTCGACCAACCGTGATAAACGTTTATTTAACTTAGGGTTTAGGGTTTAGGGCTAGGGTTCAGGGTTACCACTAACCCTCACAGCGCTAACCTGAAGTTGCATGATGACGCGCTTGGGCTTCTTGCGTGTGGGGCTTCAGGGTTTATAGGGCTATATTATAGAGGTTTCGGGCATAGGGCCTATATGGGATCTGGGGCACAGGGTGCAATTATAGGGTTTAGGGCTAGAGGGTTTAGGGTTTAGGGTTTAGGGGTATAGGGTTTAGAGGTACAGGGTTTAGCGTGTAGAGTTTAGGGTTTAGGTGGTTTTTGAATAGGCGATATAGGTTTAGGGGTTTCGGGGTTTAGGGCTATAAATGTATTTTTTGATATGGTACAGACTTAAAGCCCCAAAGAAGGTACGGTTTGTAGGCGCGCCAATGCAACAGTTGAGGTTCGGGCTTCAACGTACAGACAGAGAGTTAGAGCATTGTGATGATGCACAAAACAGGCTAAGAATGAAGAAAACTCACCTCTTCCGCCCTACATCTCTCCATTGAACTGCAGTGCTCTTCCAAACCCCTTAAAAGTCACCCTGAAAGCCCTTAAAGGGCAATTGTAGACCCAAGAGTGTCACCCAAGAATAAATAGGGTGTGTAAGGGAACGAAAGCCCCTAAAAAAGGGGAAGAAGGGCCTACTCTGTGCCCTAGTAGCCCTAAACCCTGAACCCCGAACCCTGAACCCTAAATCCTAAAAAGAAGGAAATTAGGGCCTACTCTGGCTCCTAAACTTTCTTGCTTCGGCTGGCTTGGTTCGTTAGCTGCCCATCCGTCGAGGATGAGCGCCAACTCACTGGCTGGCCCCCCGCAAACAACGTGCGACAGATTGTTTGCGGGTTCAAGGCTTTAGGGTTGCCAATAGGGTTTAGGGTTTAGGGTTTAGGGTTTAGGGCCCTAAAATCGAAACCCTCAAACCCAATAGTATAGCGTCTCCAGCTAGTTTCTTCAGTTCTTGCAATCTCGACGATCCAGTCGTGCCAAGGTGCCATCTACATGTTGATGTTGGGCAAACACCCTAACCCCGAAAACTTAAATCCTAAACCGTAAAACCCTGAGACCCTAAAACCTCAACCTAAACAAAGCCTTCTCTGAGGGGCGTATCTTTGGGCTGTTGATAAGGAAGAATTCTAAAAATGCATTCGCGGAGGCTACTTGTTAGGATATTTAAAGATTTTCACGACTTAACGGGTCTTGGAAGCCCCACGAACCCTAGCTAGACTCAAAGCCTGAGCTAAGCACTTAAAGCCATGCTCCCAACTTCCGGAGCTCGACGAGGGCTTGGGGTTTAGGTTTGGGGTTTGGGGTTTGGGGTTTAGGGTTTAGGGTTTAGGGTTTAGGGTTTAGGGCTGAGGGCTAAATCTCCGAAGCCCGTCACAAGTGGAGAACTGCTTCGTCTCTGCTGCGACC